TATGAGCTCTTATGCTGTCAAATAAATACTTAAGAAGATGGAGCACATGGCAATGCAACATCATGACCGCTATGACCACTGCTCAAGCATTACCAGCTCTTCCAGGACATTAATAATGGTACAGGAGCAGGGGCTGACATTCTCATCCTAGAAATAGTTACCCATTGCCAGAAGTAATGCAGCAAAGCACCAAACAAAATTGGAAGAGGAAGCATAGGAGAAAACTAGATGGAGGGCTTGCCTAGAGGAACCTTATAAGAGAAGACCTTTTGAGCACTATCAGTGAAGCCATACGTATATAACAATAAGATTGCAACTGGAAGACGACAACACATACAAATCCTTTCCTTACTACTACTACTGGATAGCACACTAGCTTTATTGAACTGAGACTGTGCATACTGCATCCAATGTGCTCTGCATCCAGAGCATTCCCACCACTGGTTTAGGAAACAGTGCACACACAACAATAGCCACAATCCATATCGATAGTTTCTTATGAAATGCTGCACTGCAATGCATTCCCGCCCCCCGCAACTTCAACCTGAATTGAGAAAAAGAGCAAACCGGGTACAGGTTAACCCTATAACACTTCAGCTGCTAATGTGTCATAGAGTTGGAAGAGATCCCAAGGGCCATCTAGTCCAACCCTCTGCAATGCAGGAATCTCAGCTAAAGCACCCAAGACACATGGCTTTAAAACCTCCAAGGATGAAGAGTCCACAACTCTCCACTTTGTTCTACTGTCAAATAGCTCTTACTATCAGACAGTTCTTCTGCCTGTGTATATACCCTCCTTCCCATGGTGAGGCTATACCTCGTTCCCATTCTATTTGGGCTGGATTTTATGGTACTGCCTTTAAGTTAGGGCTTGCTGACTCTCTCACAAAGAACAGAACGTGTACTTTGTGAGATTGTAGGGATTACCCTTGGGTTGATTGGCTTTATTCAACTTCTGTGCCAGTACCTCCATAAAAGCGTCCATCTATGACAATTATTTTCCTCTATATAAATATCTGCTTGCAGAATTGCATCAGTGCTTATACACGGAATAGTTTTCTTTTTGAACTTGAAAGCATAGTTATTCCCCTTCACCCCTGTGAAGGCATAGGTTTTGAACTTCTAAATGGACAGGTGTATTTTCCTTCTTATATATATATGAAAGAAATCAAGGAGTCTATTAAAGCAATTTATGGGCACTAGCCTGCCTGGACTTGCTTTCATCATAGAAACTGCTTTTTGTTTGAAATATGAAACCTGATAAAAATAGGAAGTTAATGCCTTTCCCCCTTTCATGGGTGGAGTAAACAGTAGCTCAGTGGTATGAAAATATTTCAGCCCTTTTAAACATACACAAATATCTCTCAGGTGCTTATTTATGACCTGCACTTGTGATATTTAGAAACTAGCCCTAGTAATTCTTTTAACTCCTTTGTATTAAAAATTCTATTAAATAGTACACATAAACAAATTACACATTTATAAAAACAAAGAACAACTCGTACATACACAGTAGAAAACTACCCTAATGTCATATATTTTGGCATCACACTAGTATTATTGTTGGTACAGTCCAATCTAAGCATTTTAGTTCAGTAAGTCTCTGGCATATTTACTACTGTTGTAGTAAGCTCAGGCAGTAATTGCTGTTCTCCAGTACAGGGGCTCTTGCCTATATTTTATTTGCTTTAAGTACACTCTAATTTGAGTTCACTGTATTTGTCTTAGGGCTTTTAAGTCTCTTAGTTATAGGCTTTCAAATGTTCTGTCCACAACAAAAATGGGAAAGAAATGTGCCTTATGACAAGCAAATCCTAAATTCCAACACAGACCAACAAAATACAAAACCATGGTAGGTTAAACTAAATCTTGTTTCCTTTAATAATGTCTGAACCAAAGCCTACTGACAAAACATGGTTTGTTTAAGTTCAGCAAACCAGTGTCTGAAACCAAAATTTGAAGCTTGTTTGCAAACCAGAGTTTACATCTGAGTCACTGTGAATCCATCTGAATTCAGTGCTGAGAATATGGGAAACAAAAACAACTCTAAATCATGGTTTGCCTGCTTCATGTCTACTGTTCGCATAACATGGTTTCATGTTAAATCTGAACCCAGTGAAATGAACACAACATACTGCGAGCATTACTAAGAATTAAAATGACAATATATTAAAAAAATGATTTTCATCTGTGGAGATACAAACAATTTTGCATCATGTCCAGTAGACTGTGAGTCTGCAGGAATGAATTTTACTTCTTTTATTTTTAAAACATCTTTTTGTTTTAGTTCTGAATACATTACTATGAGTACTACTACAACGGGTTCTAATAATGATAATAAATAGACCACACCACTGAACCCTGTTAAAATGCAAGAACACACTTGATTTAAAACAAGTGAATTGTTCTGTTCAAAAACTGTTCAAAGTATTTATTACTAAACTGGAAAATAAACATTAGCTTTCTAAGAAAGGGTCATATGTCATTCATCCTAATTTCAGACATGCTTAATTATGCGTGTAAAATATACTTTTGTAAAATACCTTTGTAAAATATACATTAGAGGGTATTTAATCAAGTCCTTCAAGCACTTAATTCCAGCTACTTTCATGATGATAGATAGTTGCAAAGCAAGATATTTAAAAAGCAAAAACCAAAACAAAACCAAAAACCCAAGACAGGATTGTTTTAATTTGTTTACACTATGTGGTCTGGAATTATAGCTGGAGCCAAGCTTCAGAGATAGCTCCCAGCAAAATATAAGCTAAAAATGCACTTTGCTATCTTTAAAGCATGCTCTGATCCCAATCAAGGTACACAGAAGTAAATTTCATTGCCATCGGCAAGATTTATTAAACATGCTAAGGGCTGAAGAGGTCCTATTAGAAACAGCTTGTGTTTGCTCTGTAACAAATGGCTTAAGTGTTACAGTTTCAGGTACTGTTCCCCAACATGGCATCCCATAGATGTTTTGAACTGCAGCTCCCATCATCCCTGACCATTGGGCTATGCTGTCTGGGACTGGTGAAAGCGCTAGTCCAAAACATCTGGAAAGCACCAGGCTGGGGAAGACTGCTTTAAGGCAATACTTAGGAAGAAGCTCGGGTGGATCCCATGTGATTCACATCTGAGTAAACATATACAGAATTAGACTGTATATGTGTGATAGCTGTGTGGTAGCTTTATCTGTCTTTAGTCGCCAGGCAAAGACTTTTCTTTCTGCCCTTTCCTTTTGGCCATTAACTTGAAGGGTGGCATTGCAGCCTCTTTTTCTGGAATGGAATGCATAAATCCTGCCCTTTATCTAGTTATTGTTATTAAATGTTCTAAATTGGTTTTATTGTAAGTCACTTTGGATCACTCTGTGAAAAGAGCAACTATATATATATATAGTTCTGGCACCTCTCAGGTGGGCGCCATTGCCATTATAAGAGAATATCTTCTGTTTAAAAATATATATGGCTGAAATTTTACTACTCTCGTATATACTGGAATAAACAGTAGATTCAGTTTTTAGAGTAACTTAGGGCTTTCACCTAATGCTGTGCCTCACTGCCTTTTCTAGCATTTTTCTATAGTTCTACAGCACTTGGAGTCTGTATACATAACCAGCCACTCCAACATCATCTTATGAAAGCAGGAGTCTGAACTAGGCTAAAAGATATCTTGCAAACATGCAACAAGGAGTGAGTGTTGCTTAATAACACAAGGTCAGTCTGGAGAATTTTGTGATTAAATAAATTAGTTCCTGGTTTATCACAGGGCAGTCTTAGGGTGTTCTGCTGTTCCTGCAATACAGTTGACGACATACAGATTAGTGCCTCCGTATATCACTTTAATTATTTTTTTAGTGGTCAGAATAGTTAAGGGATGAAATCATTATACTGATATATACATTTTCGTACATATTCTTTGGTTGGAGAACCAGAAGTGCAAATGTCAAAGGGCAGCTGCATTGTGGGTTGCATACTGCATCAGGAACTGTGGATTCAGAACCAAAATTCTACCCCATCCCTACATGGAGAGGAAAGTGGGATCACCCAGGAAACAAGTTCAGTGTGATATGTGGAAATGGTATCTGAATATCCCTTTGAGCTGGTACTGACGACTGCTGTTAGTGCCTTGAAATTCATGGCAACACCACTCATACCCTTTACTCAAAAGTAGAACAACTAAACTCCTATGATCAAAGGATACAAATATATATCATATAATGAATTATAGAATCACAGAATTTAGAGTTGGAAGTTCATACTCTGTTAAGTTTATACTGTGTATGAACTTGTAATAAAAGCCTGATGGCTGCTTGTTTTTCTCAGAGAGAAGAAGCCGCCAGGAAGGAAATTTGCAATGGAGAAGCAGTGGACTGGGAAGTAGCTTCCACTCCTTCTCTGCTCTAATAGCTCCTTTTCCTAGGGAAAAGCAGCATCAAACTTTCATTGCATGAAACATTCTAAGCTGCAAAGCATGTGCCTCACTGCAATGCATATATTGAAGCCAGGATCAGCCGACCCATGCAGCAAGTTCTTCACTCATCCCTTCTTCCCTGGTGGGGAGGGAAATGCCATTTTGTGGTTCTCCTCAAGTGCCAAAATATTTTGAGCCGGCCCTGTTTGTAGAATCATTGTCGAGTTGATTATAATGCTGTTAATTGGCTGGAGGAATCCCACAGTAGTGTGCAATCAGACAAATGAATGAGCATTTGTTTTGGGAGACGGACTCTGCCTAGTTTCTTCTACACTGTTCTTCACCAAAGCTTTTCCACAGTTGTTTTGAACCTTACGTCAAACTCAACCTTTTCCACATTGTCTGCTTGCAGTTGCTGCCCTCTTTCACCATCAGTGCTAGATGTGCCAGATGAAACCCACTGGGGGGTGGGGGAACTGTCCCAAAGTGCCATCCTATACAACAGATCAAGCCAACCATGATTCCAATGGCCAATGGGTGACCTTCTCCTCAATGCACAGGGTGGAGTGAGGGGAGGAAGTTCAGGTACTTACCCTGAATCTGGCTCTGAGGCTGAGGGTTAAAAGCAGTGGTGTGGTTCAAGGAAGCTCTTGGGTTAGGAGTGGGGGCTGGGTGGTGTGGGCTGACCCTTATGGCTGTGCGACGCAACTGCTCCAATTCGCTCAGACGCTCTGAAAAGGACAAACTCCCAGGCTTTGTCTGCTCGTCTAGTTTCTGACGGTGTCCTATTGCGGGGAAGGGGAAAGAAGATGAGAAAAATATCTGACTGACACATAGCAGAATCTGTTGCTGTGTATGCACCCTATTACTATGGTCAGAAAGTCAACAGGATCTATATTGCAGGGTAGTCTAGCCAACGTCGAGGCCTTCAGATATTGTTGGATTCAAACTCCTATTGGCCCCAGGCAATATGGCCAATGGTCAGGGATGCTGGGAGTTGTAGTCCCACAACATCTAGAGGGCACAACATCAGCTACCCCTGTAATATTTACTACAAACATGAAGGGCTCAACCCAACTAAAACCCCATTGATTTCAATAGGATATGAATATTTACGTGGATTGGAACTGAGATCTTCAACACACACCACAATGTTGTTTATGTACACACAACTGCAGTTTGCTCATGCTCTACATAATTATTACACTGTCAGGGAATGCAGACTCAGAGAGCATGGGAAGATGCCATATGCCTGGTCAGATAACTCATCCAACTAGTCAATGCAGTCTTACTCATCACGTGCTGTCTGATATTTTTTTAAACCAGAGATGGCAAGGACTGAGACCTTCTCTCTGCAGAGCAATGACTGAAGACTAATGAGTAAAGGCATCCTGTCTTGTCTTCCTGAGCTCAGAAAGATTACACTACAGTTCAGCCCTCTGTTAACTTCCTTCATGGATCCTGAGGAACATCAGAGGGGCCAGGGGCTGCCTCTTGGCAGAAGCTGCTCTATGCCCATGGGACAATGTGCTTGTGGGATATCCAACTTGGAAGTATGTACTTATTGTACGCAGGTGGCGCTGTGGGTTAAACCACAGAGCCTAGGGCTTGCCGATCAGAAGGTCGGCAGTTTGAATCCCCACGATGGGGTGAGCTCCCGTTGTTCGGTCCCTGCTCCTGCCCACCTAGCAGTTCGAAAGCACGAAGTGCAAGTAGATAAATAGGTACCGCTCTGGCGGGAAGGTAAACGGCGTTTCCGTGCGCTGCTCTGGTTTGCCAGAAGCAACTTAGTTATGCTGGCCACATGACCCGGAAGCCGGCTCCCTCAGCCAGTAAAGTGAGATGAGCGCCACAACCCCAGAGTCGTCCGCGACTGGACATAATGGTCAGGGGTCCCTTTACCTTTACTTATTGCAATGTAAAAAACATATTTGTTGAACAACATTTCCACTTTCCTTATTGGTGAGTGATTCATCTCTGTACCAGTGCAGTCAGACAATATCCTAGCAACAGGAAAAGGAGCTGGTGCTGGAATGATGCACGCACACCGTCACACTTGGGATGGGGCGAACATATCAGCTGACATCAAGAGACTCACAATAGGCAGGACATTAGCAAATCTTATACCCAAATATGGAATTCTTTCCCCCTTGCTCTATTTCTTTCAACCAATTCCTTTTTATTTTGTCTGAAAAGAGTGAAAACTGCTGCATCTCTGATCCTGCTAACCCTTAAAAAAAATTCTACTCCATTCCTTTCCCTAAACTGCAATGAGTAAGTCTTCCTTTTGAAGGAATTCTTCTTCTTTAGGAGATAGCCCCTGCAGTTTTAGTGATGGAAACTCTTACAGAAAGGAACCTCTCCAAACACTTCCCACAGACTGGTGTGTGTGCTGTGGGCAACAAAATCCACAACAAAAGCCTCTTGCATCTCATTCTTTTGTTCCTTGGGGTATTAAATAAAATCGGAACACATAATTGCCATTTATTTTCACCTGAGGTGGGTCATCAAATGAATATCTAGCCTTGCCTGAAAAAGTCAAACGTGTCTCCTGCTCTACAGAACACTATTCCACACAGCCCTGAAAGCATTTTCATGAGGACACTGGACTTTTTCTTTTTTTAAGGAGAGTTCTAAGAGGAAAACACACACTTAAAAGTAGTGCCTAGTAGCTAAAATTAAATTTTATAACGTGTGCTGATGTTCCAAATCTGAGCAACTCGTCTCTTCTTCCTCCTGCCAGATCCTTTGGCACAGCTCACTGTGTCTCGGATTCCACACTGAGTTATAAATTATCACAGGAATGGAAAGGGGAGGGGAGCATAGGACTTGAGAAGTGATTGTATCTTTTACACCCACTCCACTCCACTTCCCTCCTGCTCTTGTTAAAAAGATAAAAAGAAAAATACTTTTATCTAATCCTTTTTTATAGTTCAAATGCAAAAGCCTTTCTTTCATTTGTCAGTAATTCAAATTCAAACTTGGATTCATGACACTCGGCTCAAATGCAAACACTTGGAGTCGTGCAAGCTGTGTACATATGTAAAATGTCATCGACGTGGTGATTATTTTCAGCCTCGTGGCTTGAACGCCTTGAGGTCAGAATCTTGATTCCAGAGTAACGCCTGGCAGATCTAACAATACATATAAGATACAGTTGTCATTAGAAGTTCAGTTCAGAACTATTTATGCATCCAATTTAACACATCTGTGAGATGCCTTCCTTTCATATTTTCATCAGTTGTTATTCTGTGTGGTTTTCAACATGACTTTGAGGAGTGTTATTTTTCTGGCAAGATGTTTAATAATAATAATAAAAAAATCTACTGAAATCTATTAGAATAATACATGTAATTAATTAAATGGTCAGTGGAGGTGATTGTTGTCTTTTTACAGCACCGATTGTTGCCAATTCTCTTCATGTTAGATTAGAACCACTTCATGCTACAGAAAAGCACTTGTGTGTGAATGTTGTGATCAATGAAGAGTCTAGGTCCTCTACACAGGATCACTCATGCTGGTTCTTTTGGGTTTTTTGCACATGAACAAGAGATTGGCTGCAGGTTATTAGCCTGCAAATGAAATAAAGAAATAAATCCACATGGTCATCCTCACATGTGACATCTGCACATCATTTTCATCACACATCATATTTCTGCATAGGATGTTGTATACACATGATGCAGTCCAGTAGATCCTAATTTTCCTGCAGTTACCAGTGCTTCCAAGAGTTAAAGCAGTTCCCTTTTTGATAGCAATTAAGGGGTAACATCTAACTTAGTGAGTAAAAAAACCCACACCCATTCATTCATATGGATTTGCAAAATTATAACGAATGAAGTGGCTGTATGTATGTGAATAGTTAACACCTACAGAATGAAAGATATTAGCAACTACATTCCAAGTATTACTTAAGAGCCCAAACTTAGGAGCCCCAGTTTCAAACCGTCGCAAATCCATGAATATGGGGGCCTGGTTTTTGCCCAGTGACACATTTTCAGCCTGACCTACAGCAAAGGATTGTCACAAGCTTAAATTAGGGTTGGGCCAGATGACCTTTGTGGTCCCTTCTAACTCTACAATTCTATGTTTCTACTGAATCTACGTACAGTACAGCGTTTTCCATGTATGAAGCAATGCATCATTTTAATTAATTCATCCTCACAAAAACAGAATGTGAAATTAAAACTGAAACAAGTAAAGTGTCAGTAGCTTAAGTAATATTTCTCATGTCATCCTGTATTTTATCAACATGCAATGTAATCCTGTACATGTTTCCTCAGAAATAACCCATACTGTTTAATGGAACTTACTCCCAAGCAAGTGTGTAATGGATCACAGCCTAAACAAAATGTTTCACATTAATGAAAAAAGCCTTAGGGTGGATGGGGCTGGAAATATATTCCTTGGTATTCTTTTTAATCCATATGCACTATAATCTAATTACTGCTGAGGAGATGATGATGGTGATGATCATGATAAGAATTTTTTAGAATTTTAGTACAAAATGTCTTATCTTGCTTTTTATGCAAACCTCCAAGATTATCAAATCAATATTTTCCACAGCTGCCTTTATTTTGCTGTCCCCAAGTCCATCAGGCAAATGAGCAGCATTTGGGAATTGCAGGCCTCTCCACTGAACAACAGGAGTCTTGACCCATGACAATGAACAGCATGCATAGATGAGGGAGAAATACTGCACCATCATCCTTACTCTCAGCTCCTTTACTCATTCAGCATCACTTCTGGAAAAGCCTTCACACAAACAAACTAGGTGTGCAGAACTTCCAGAGGGGTAGACATGTCAGTCTAGTCCAGCAAAAACAAGAGTCTTATTTATAACACGGAATTGGGAATCCTTAAAAAGGCAGGTTCTCTGATGAGGCACAGGATACCAGGTGTCATGTGGAATGCTCATGCCAACCCCTAAAACTGATCACTGTTATCAGGGCCGGATTTAGGTCTGATGAGGCCCTACACTACTGAAGGTAATGGGGCCTTTTATATGTCCCACTGTCCTTTGTCAACAACAAATTGTCGCTGCTTTTTGTGTTGAATATATGCTAAATTATGGATCTAATAGGTATTTAAAACCATTTGCACATAACAAAATATGTATTTTATCAAAATAATTATTGAACTGAAATACAATTAAGAAGTATATTAATACTGAAATACAATTAGGAAGAAGTATATTAATAGTGAAATAATTATTAAGCTCTATCTGTATGTAGGTTTTATTTTATTTGTTTTTTATCTTATTTTTTTGGAAATGTACATCCAGTTGTTTTTTTCCTTTAAATTTTTTGGGGGACCCAAGAGAGTGGGGCCTTATTTAGCTTATACATAGCTTGTTTAGCTTATACATAAATCCGGCACTGATTGTTTTGTTTGAAGGGTCCTGGAGGTGTACACCTAAGTTGTGGATACACACGTTTCTGTATACAGAAACGTGTAACTTTCTTGTTTAGAAATAGTGGCTTACTTCATAAGTTCTTGTTTGGAGATAAGCCTGCCCACTGAAGTACCATATTGGCCTGAATATAAGCCACACTTTCCCCACAAATTCCGACCGTGAAAAGTTAAAGTGCGGCTCAAATTTGTGACCTTACAAAAATTGGCTTTTACGGGACTTCTGGTGAGGCAAGATGGTGGGCAGTGCATAGCTCCTAGGACCACCAGCACAACACAATTTTAAGGGAGCGGCTTATATTAGGGTATTGTATTTTTTTTCTCCGCCCCCCCCCCCAGTTTTAAAGATGAGGCTTATTTGCTGGTGCGGCTT